CTAACACGACAGCCGAGGAGGGGGAAAAAAATGTCAGGTAAAGATAACCCAAGGAAACATAAAAAGCAGTTTTTAAATTGCAATTTTTATCTTTATCTGTCAAGAGAGGAAAAAAACTATTCAAAAAGAATTTTTTTTTAAGGTCTTGCTCCCGAAACCGAATAACTGTCATCCTCAGCAGCAGCACCAACTCAAATCAAGCCTTTTCCAGAACTGGCAAGAAGTCTTTCACATCACTGCGGAGATATTTTGATCCACTGCTCTTCTCCCATTCAGGCGGTGTCCTTAAATAGGTGCAGTGGTACCTCTACTTACGAAATTAATTGGTCTGGAAGAAATTTCTTAACTAGAAAATATTGTAAGTAGAGACGTGTTTTCCATGTAAGTGCCCTAATCCGTTCCAAGCCCACTCAAAATTCAAACACAAATGTTTTCTAAAGCATAACAATACATCAAAATGGAACAAATACATGTCACAATTACATTATTGCAACAAGATAATTGATAGTTGGGCATAATGTAAAAAACAAAGAATAAAAATGATGGTCATTTAACTTTTAACTGCGTCCTCATCATTTTTTGCGCTCTTTAGTGCATGTGCTCTCTCAGAAGTGGTTTTTGCTGGGCCTTTTGTAAAGAACTGATCCAAGGATGTTTGCTGTTGTCGGCTTTTAACAATCCTTCGAAAACGTCCAAGGCAAACATCGGCATCGTGACCGATCACCCGACTGGTGAACACTTTTTGAACTGGTGAATTGTGTCTCAAATTTCCCCAGTGTCGGACAAATAAAGGTTATCTTATCTTTTTCTGGGTGATTCACATTTACGTAAAACTATCGGAACACCTCATGGCCCGAGGGGCGAATGACGAGGACGCTGCATAGACACTGATCTATCTATCTGCACCCATTGGCACAAACAGTAGAGGTCCCTCTTAGCCAATGGGATGCCAGGAAGATGCTCGGTCATAGCCAATGGCAGAGCAGCTATAAGTATGTTGCGTTCAGGAAACTCGGAACTGTGAGTAGCAGCCCATACTGTATTTTTACCTTTTGTATCTTGACATTTCTTTCGCAACAAGAGGCAATATTTTCCTGTGGAGGCGTTTCGTAACTTGAAAATTTCATATGAAGAGACGTTCGTCCGTAAAGGTACCACTCGACTTAAAAAAGAATTCGACCAAAAAAGAGACAACAAAATGTGAATATTGCCAGGTGAAATCAAACAAAACAAATGAAAACTCATTTGGCTGACACGTTACCGGATAAAACTTTCCTGACAGATAGGAATTGAAATAAATAGCCACATTAATAAACTAAATTATTCAATTAAAAGGTGTCTCAGATAGAACAAAAATGTAATTACTGTTGCTTTGATAAATGGGTGACTTCCATCCCTCCCCAAACAACCTGACACATGAGTCAGCTCACATTTGCATTTTGGTGGAGAACCCGCTCTTCATTTCTGCCATCCCCGCTGATAATTTAAATTTCTTGCTGTTGAGCCCGTCTGTGTTGACTTATCCTCAAGCCTAACTATAAAAGGGAAATGCTTAAATGGAAGACGGTGCCCTGAACGCGTTTCATTTTGAGCGAGATGACAAATATGAAAATAGATGACTTTCCCGTGTCTGTCCATGTTGTGACCATAAAACGCGGACTTCATTTGTCAAAGGAGAATGTGCAACAGTGAGCCGCCAGTTTTGTTGTGTGCGTTTATATTGTGCCCTGCCTCTTCCTCTCTTCTTGTTTCCATTTCTGAGCTGACTGGCCCCCCAAAAAAATGACACCACCGGTAACCGGAAAAATGGTCAGACTTGACATGTCGAGAGATTCGGTGGAAGGCACTCCTGTCCGCGATGACAAAGTTCATGAGGTTTCACCCCGCATATCGAATCTATGGTCGTGTGCTTGAAAGAAAAAAATCAGGTTTCGTGGCAGATTTGTTCTCCTTTGGAGATGACATATCAAGCCTGCCCAATAGTCAAGGTTGTTCCTCGCAAAGGGAATGTATATTCAAATCTTTGTATTATCCCGAACCTTCATGTACTCTAATACACTTTTTATTCTTTGAAAATACCGTAGTTTCCGCACTACAGTGCAACTCCTCTCCAACGAAACCGACATGGTTTCTGCCCCCCCATACAAAGAAAAAAAACCCCTGTTTCGTTATACGAAATCTTTTTCTCTGCTCTTGCCTCGCGACGAGATTCACTACAACGAAGTCTAATCCAACAGCGACCTCTACTGCTTCGTTCGGAAATGGCAACAGCAACCACCACACTGGTTTACACATGCGCAGTAGTCCAGGAAGTTATTGTTGGTTTCAGACGCAGCACGAACATTGCATTGCTAAAATGGCGACAAAACGGACCATTTCTTTCCCTTTTTTTCTTTCTACACTGACTATATGAAGTGTCAAATAAGTGTATGCTCATACTTATGCACTCTTCTTCTCCTTTCGGCACGTCCCTTTTCAGGGGTCGCCAGAGCGAGTCATTAATTCCCATCCGTCCCTGCAAACCGCCCTATCAACTCGCATGTCCGTCTTGGCAAAAGTTTTACGCCGGATGCCCTTCCTGACGCAACACTACCCATTTCTCCGGGCTCGGGACCGGCACCGGGGCACACTGTAACCCCAGGGGTGGGAACTGCTCCCCAGCGGCTGGGTTCCCAAGCTGCTTCAAATGCAAGTGCTATAATAACCGATCCCCTTAAGGATGGCGCCCTCTGTTGGACAATAATATTATTACAAAGAGACTTTGATTTGTCATATCAACTTGACGGAAACGATTTCAAAACACAGGAAAAGTGAAAGTTGAATGACAAATGAAAAAGATAAATAATTATTCAGAAAGGGCGGTGATTTGTTTTGTGAACACAGGTGGGAAGTGTGTGTGTACACATACGTTTGTGTGTGTGTGTGTGTGTGTGTGTGTGTGTGTGTGTGTGTGTGTGTGTGTGTGTACATCTGAGATCAAATTTGAGGAGATTCACTGTATAAGGCGCACCTTCAATGAATGGCCGATTTTAGTGTATTGGGTTTGCGTTACACATCCACGAGATGGAGCTACGCTAAAGGGAATACAATACAATGCAGCTTTATTTATTTTGCGCCCTCTTCCTCTCTTCTTGTTTCCATTTCTGAGCTGACTGGCCCCCCAAAAAAATGACACCACCGGTAACCGGAAAAATGGTCAGACTTGACATGTCGAGAGATTCGGTGGAAGGCACTCCTGTCCGCGATGACAAAGTTCATGAGGTTTCACCCCGCATATCGAATCTATGGTCGTGTGCTTGAAAGAAAAAAATCAGGTTTCGTGGCAGATTTGTTCTCCTTTGGAGACGACATATCAAGCCTGCCCTATAGTCAAGGTTGTTCCTCGCAAAGGCAGTGTATATTCAAATCTTTGTATTCTCCCGAACCTTCATGTACTCTAATACAATTTTTATTCTTTGAAAATACCGTAGTTTCCGCACTACAGTGAAACTCCTCTCCAACGAAACCGACATGGGCGAAAATACCCCTTAGTGTGAAAAAATATTCATGCATGAAAGCTATTCCCACTTTTCTGCTTCCCCTATGATGAAAAGTCCCCGTTCCGTTATACGAACTCTTTTTCTCTGCTCTTGCCGTGCAACGACATTCACTAAATCTCCTTTGTCAAAATATCCAGAAGCTTTTTGAAATCAGAGATAGTTGTTATAATCTAAGAGGTATTAATCAATACAAAAAATCCAGAACAAGAACAAACATCAAGCAAAGGTGTGTATCAGTAATAGGAGTTAATCTGTGGAATAAGCTTGAGATGGATCTGAAAATGACTAAATCATGGCCGAGTTCAAAAACAAATTTAAAAGATTAGTACAAAAAAACTACATAAAACAAAGTTAAGAAGATAAATTTTACATACTGGTACTTATAAAACATAGTAATACTATGGTTTGTTCTTGTTCTGGATTTTGAACAACTTATTGAATGTATTCAAGAAATGCAGTATATATAATCAATATGAGTCATTTGATATAAAAAGTAGAAAGAACAATTATATATATACAAACCGAAAGGTGTATCAATAGATAAGTATAGTACACAAAAGGGTAAAAGTATTTGATGATATGTAGATTTCTTCCTTTTCTTTGGTATTGGAAATGATCAGTATACATTATTGCACAACAAGGGGTAGGACTAGATAAGTTGTATACTTCTTCCTACTCCTTTGAACATATAACTGTGATGATGTTTGTATTACTTACTTTCACTTTTATTTTCCTTACATAATTTTTGTTTGCATTTTGTCATGTTATTGTATGTTTTATACATGTTCAATAAATAATCAAACAAAATCAAACAAACATATTCGACGCATTGTGCTTTACAGACCATTTAAAATACTACATCCAAGAAACCTGAATATTGATCCTCATATTCGACGCATTGGATTATAAGGTCCACTGTCGGCTTTTGAGAAAATGGAATGCTTCTCGGTGCGTCTCGTGAGGAAAATACAGTACTAATCATCTTTTTGTGTTTGGCTGATAGCAATGTCTGAGAACTGCTGATTGTCACAGCAACTCCACTTCACAACACTGTGTGCCTTATTATCCAATGCGCCGTATATATGGATCAGTATTCAGATTTCTTGGACAAAGTATTTTAAATGTTCTGAAAAATGCTTTGTTCCAGCTGCAGCGGTTGTGGAAGCTCTCCATAAATAAAGCTATATACTATTGTATTCCCTTTAGCGTGGCTCCATCGAGTAGATGCATAACGCAACCCCAGCCACTATTGTGCTCTATGAGCCTTATGATGCGGTGCACCCTATATAAGAAAACAGTTTTAAAATAGGCCATACATTGTAGGTGCGCCTTATACTCCGAAGCGCCTTACAGTGCGGAAAATAGTTTTTTTTTTTTAATAATGAAACTATGTTATGTACTCTTCACTTCTAATGTGGTTCAAGCTGCCTTTAATGATGGCAACGTGTCATGTGGTTCCAGGAGGAAGAAGGGGAGCGGCTGGAGGACGAGTGCTCCGTGAAAGAGGAGATATGCGAGCAAGAAATTCCCATCTGAAGATAAACCCAAATGGACACGACACCACTGAATGAATTTCCATGTTCATCATTTGTTTGCTAGTTACCAAGCACAGCATCTTTTAACTACCCCACCAAAGTTTGTAGACCCGAACAGTATCACTCAACAGTATTAGCATTACCCCAGAAGAGTTTCTGAATTTTCTAAATAGCTTTATATAAGAGGACATGAAGGCTTCTTCATCTTAGGCTACTCTAAGGATTGAAGTGCCAGAAGTCTCATGAACAAGCTTCTGTGTCTGTAATGCAATCTATTTTCATATGCTAAAGATGTTCCTTTGTCACAACTACACCGGCGACAGTATACAGTATCTGCCTTATTGATAAATTGTTCCAGAGCGATGTGTCACTTTTCCCCATGTCAAACATCACACCCAGGAGTCTTCTTTCTCTACACTTCATATTCCTCTGGATATTATTTCTCCCCTTAAGTTTCAGTTAGATGAAGATAATTGTCTTGTGAAAAATGGAGAAGAGTATTGTCACCAAATTTGCCATTTTCAAATTTCAATCAAATACCGAGACGTTTCACATATTTCTCAATGCCTCCGCACGCCTACATGTTTGTGCCGTCAAAAGTGTATCTGATTACAGCCTCCGGTACCTGAAAAATAGGCTACCAGCTAGCTCATAAGCTAACAGCAGGTCATCACTACCGAGAGAGGGGCGGAGCTCACTCATCCACAGCCTCACCTGCTTACTTGGTGTTGTTGCTGTGTTGGTCCGCATAGCAGAGACATTCGCACGCCCCTACCGGTGGCTCTCACAACATGACACTTGGGAATTTTAATAAATGACCTCGTCATCCGGCGAATTGTAGCATCCAGGAAAATTGTATTTTCACGGCGTCAGCATCGCTAGCTAGCTAAATGCACATTTTATGGGTCGAATTGGGCCAAGTACAATAATTGCAGTGTAACTAGCTAGCAATTGCGCTGGATAACCGCTGATACGAAAGAAGGTGCTCCTGTTCATGTGTAGTGGGGGACGGAGACTCATGCCTGAGCCCAACTGCATCACAAAAACACTTGTGTTAGCCATTCCCATAAAATCAGGAAAACGGATTTGGTACTGCCTAGTTCTCAGTCGTTATCAGCAATTATCTTCAAACATGTATATTATATTTAGAAATAACGTGTCTGAAGTCACTTTGCAGGGTCTTGAAATATTTTCATATTTCAGTCATTTCAAACATCTTCATATATTTGCTGTTCTCATTCAGGAATATGTTACAAACAACTCTATATTTTGTCAGCTGATATGTCATAAAATTTTGCATGTTCCAAAAACAATGTCTCCTCAACATTTTATTCTTGGCCAGAGGGTCTCATCTCAAGAGTGGTAACAAATAGGTGAAAATCAGGTAAGGCACATATTTTCAAGAAAATGGTGAGGACGTAGAACGTCTACCGTTTTTGGACACTAGCTGTCTTGACACTGGCCTGTACTCAGTAAAGTCGACTAGTTCACAAAAAAAAAAAAAAATAGCTGAGTCGAGAAGTTCTTCTGTTGCTATCCAACCGAGAGTATTCCTGACGACTCATCTAGGGGGCTGCCGAGGCTGATCCCGTTTCCTCAAAGAAATTGACTTTTTTTCATTGTGTGCGGTCAGTACAATTTAGACTTTTCAATCCTGAAACCAATGATCAGAGACACAAGCAGCTCCGCAAAGTTACCTGAATCTTCCAGTGATGTCCCGTGCTGGACAGTGTGGTAAAATGTGAATGTACCAATTGCATTGTGGGGCGAGGGGTTAACAGTTCCTTTTAGTTCCAAACAGAGACGAGAGAAAAGAAATTGCTCATAAACACATGAACACAGCCACAATAAAATGACTGCTTAACCCATATACAGTCAAACCTCGGTTTTCGAACGTCTCTGTTCTCGACCAAATCGGTTTTCGACCAAAAATTTCGAGTTTTTTATGCCTCGGATTACGACCGAAAATCGGTTCTCGACCAAACTGAGCGCACTTGAATGCGGCACTTGACTCCTCTCGCCTTCCTTATACGAGGAAGTGACGCTTCCTCGTGTAGCGTTCCATTGTGAGCAGACGTGTTCAATCAAGATTTTTTTTTAAAACAGAGTGTGGTTTCGGTTTTCGAACAAATCGATTTTTGAACAGCCTTCTGGAACAGATTATGGTCGAAAACCGAGGTATGACTGTATTGTGTTTTACAAGAATACTCTAACATATGCGTGGGTTTTCTCCGGGTGCTCCGGTTTCCTCCCACATTCCAAAAACATGCATGGCAGGCTGATTGATCACTCTTAGTTGTCCCTAGGTGTGAATGTGAGCATGGATGGTTGTTCGTCTCTGTGTGCCCTGCGATTGGCTGGCAACCGATTCAGGGTGTCCCCCGCCTACTGCCCGAAGACAGCTGGGATAGGCTCCAGCACCCCCGCGACCCGAGTGAGGATCAAGCGGTTCGGAAAATGAATGAATGAATGACTTTAACATATTTATAATTTCAAATGTAACTGTGGTTGAAATAGCGAAGTACGCAAACCAAAAATAAATTTCTGGGTTTTAAGTGAAGTCGGACACAGCCGGACCGCTGCCCCACCGTAACCCATATATTGTGTTTGACAACAATACCTTAACATATTTATAATTTTCATATCTATCTGTGGATGAAATAGCAAAGTGTGACAAAAATTGATGTAAAGTGCCGTATTGGCCCGAATATAAGACAGCCCTGATTATAAGGCGACCCCCTCTTTTTCAAGACTCAAGTTTGAAAAAAGACTTTTTGAACACCAAATTAGTTTTTATACAGGAAATAATTACAGTACATCTGAAAAAAATGATTATAACAATATATTTGAGAGAAAAAGCATGTTATTTTGCCTCATTCAAATCTAACAGGCTTGCACAGTTCAAGTCACAGCTTTCAGATATCAAATTACCCAATGTGTAGGCAGTGGCGAGTGGCCAGCTATCATTTTTTTTCTCCCCAAATGTCCAGTCCAAGTCATATTCAGCAGTATGGCACAGGGGCCGGCAAAGAAAAAAAAATTAGCCCTCAATAATCCACTGTGACCTAACAGTTTTCAATCAACGTTCACTCTCGACACAGTCCGTAACCCTTGTGCTGCAATTTCTACGATGTTTGTAACACATGGGTTACCCCATATGTTACAATTTCTACAATTTTTGTAGATTTTTGCATATTCTTCATCATGTCATCTTTAAATCAAAGACACAGCATAAAAAGTGTGTGATATGAAATATTCCAATTCATGTTTTATTTATATAGATTTATATTTATGTTTTGGTCATAGCACAATACCGCTTTTATTGTCCATAGAGGGCAAAAATACAAAGAAAAAAATAAGAACTATATGTGTATGTATAGCACTGATGCCACTGAACATGTCGAGTGGTTGAAAGTGAAATAAATATTCAGGAATAATACTTTTACAATTTTTGTAAAATTGTATGTTGCGTTATATGAACTTATTTAGATCGACTGCAGCACATGGGTAATTTCAGCATCCTGCTGTTATACTTGAAGTCTGTTGGTTGGTTGTATGAGATTGTCATTAATTTCCTCACAGGACGAAGTGAAAAAGTGCTGTGTGCTTCCTTCACATTGGAGATCCAGAGTTTTTCATTCGCCGTTGCTGCACAGTATACATGTTGTGTAAAGTGGTTAGAAGATGAGAGAGGAAAAACGTGATTGAAGTCTCCGCCGAGCGGTGTGTGGGCACCAGAATGCTGAAATTGTAATCTTGCGATCACAAGATGGCGTATAGGGTTACAATACCAGGGTTATAATCGTTTTTGAGTTTTCATTATAGAATACGCTGAAAAATCCAAAATATTTCATGTACAAACCGATAAACGATTGTTTTTGGCAAACAATCATTCACTTTAAATTTTATGGATCGAACACGAGTCGCTGCTGGTCTAAGTGGTATACTCGCCTGACTTGTGTGCGGGCGGCGTGGGACCTGTTCCCACTCAGTGACGGTGTCCATGTGGATGTGAACGGTTTTTCATCTCTATGTGGCCTGTGACTGACTGGCGGGACCGTTCCCACTCAGTGATGGTGTCCATGTGGGTATGAACGGTTGTTCATCTCTATGTGGCCTGCGACTGACTGACGACCAGAATCATGATAAACTGTACGTACACAATGGGACTAAATTCAGAAACTTTTTATGTGCAGATAATTTTTACAAGAGTCCTTTTCCCCAAAAAAACTACAGTAACACAAATATTTGTCCTGAAACTTGGAAAAGAATAACATTGCTCTACGGAATTGAGCTCTAAGCATGGACAATACTACCGTATTGGCCCGAATATAAGACAGTGTTTTTTGCATTGAAATAAGACTGCAAAAGTGGGGGTCGTCTTATATTCGGGGTCTAGACATTATACCCATTCACGACGCTAGATGGCGCCAGATATCATTGAAGTGAATGCTGAACTTGACTCCCCAGGCCAAAGTGAACCCCTGTCACAAAGAATAAAAATAAAAATAGCTGTAGCACAAAGAAGAAAAATAAAAATAGCGGTATGAAAGAAAAGAGAAGAAAATAATAGAAGAGATAACAGAAAATGGAGAAACGTAGCAACAATCTGGAGAAAAGTGGGTCGAAGATCGGCCAAGTTAACCGGCAGCTGAGGAGAAGTTATGATGTAATTTATATTTCAAAAACCAGAAGCCATTCATTTACGAATTTGATTGCACTTTAGTTTACATATTGAAATGTTCAGATATTAAGATTTGAATGAGGCAAAATAACATGCTTTTTCTCTCGAATATATTGTTATAATCATTTGTTTCAGATGTACTGTAATTATTTTCTGTATAATAATTAATTTGGTGTTCAAAAAGTCTTTTTTCAAACTTGAGTCTTGAAAAAGAGGGGGTCGTCTTATAATCAGGGTCGTCTTATATTCGGGCTAATACGGTACTCACGAGAAAATAAAGATGAGAGAAACGAACAAAAATGCATTCGGAACATTTGCAGCAACTGTAAATATGCTCCAGTATTATTTGCTTGCTGCCCCGAATGATAAATGTGTGCTATGCAGTTGTAAGAATGTAACGACACATGATGACACAACACATCCTTTTGACAAGAGAGTTTTCGGGTAAGCACCATTGTTCATGTTCCGTATATAATCATCAAAGCGGAGCTTTTTAATATTCAGCCGATGGAAGTGGGTGTATGGCATAAGTGGAAGACCGGTGGGACACTTTGTCATTAATGTGCCCATTGCTGTTCTCATACGCCTAATGACATCACTCTCAGACGGCATGCTTGGAGCTCGACTGCGGGGAGCCTCAAACGACTGCCGAAGCCGACGCTTCCTTCCCATCATCAATTATGTCTTCTCACTCAAA